ACACAACACACGCACCCAAAACCATTAACGCTACAAAGAAATGATATTGTATAGCTGCTGTAGAAATAAAAGCCAAAAAAATATATAAAATTTGTATATTTTTTTTTTGTATATATATATATATATATATATATATATATATATATATATATATGTATATACATATATTCATTCTGTATGTTATACAAAAACTATTCTAATTTTATACACTTTTTTGGCTACCAGATGTAAATAGTTTTTGGCGCGAACTAAAAGTGATAATAACCCCCCAAAAAATGGTTGAAAGTCCACGGTCCAAAAAGGATGTCTCTAAAAGACAAGAAGGGTAAAAGCAAAGTTGCTCGGACATGGATGCGGATGTCCGACACGAGTGCGGATCTAGATGCCGGATCCTTCGAGATGTAAATTCTAAGATTCGGGGATACAGATCCTAGTACAGATATGGGTGCGCGGATCCAGCTAAAAATATTCAAAAAAAATTAAACTATTTCTAGATTATAAGAAATTTTGTGAAATACTTATGTATAGTTTGTAAAGTGTGAATTTCTTTTTTTATTATGAAGTTGTACGTAGATAAGTAAAATATTAATTTTCTAGATAAGGTATGCTATTTTCTTCAAATTTACCCTAGTTTTGGTTCTGATTTCGGAAACAAAATTGTATCTTGTCTCGAATGTTTTTGTCCGTCGTGTTCAAAGTACCCAAAATCCTTTTACCAAATCCAATATGGATCCCATACCCACACCCATACTAGTATCGTATCGACACGAGTAGGCACCTAAACTGCCACGTCAGAGCAACTTAGGATAAAAGCGGCCAAAATTAGAAATAGCAAAATATATAGACTAAAAACAAGTTGAGCTGGAGATTTGTGCATAGAATTAACATAGCAAGACCAAAACAAAGAATAGGAAATCGTTTGGCGTATTGGACCCAAAAAGAAAAAGGAAAGAAAGACTAAAATAAAACAAATCACAAAAAGAAAAAAAGAGAAAAGAATAAACCTAATGTAAATTCTTAACTCGTATTTGGACAAGATTTTATCATTTTTTTGTGATGCCAAATTACCTGCTTAATTCTTTCTGCATGCCTTAGGAGTTTAGAGATATACTGAATGTTATCATCCTTAATGGTATTTTTTTCATCAAATACCAATATAATATCGGACTGGTAAAAGTTTTACCGTCCCGATTTTTACACTAATAAATGCTAGACATGTGTTTTTTAACCATGAGTTACATGACGTAACATAAAGGAGAGATAGAACAAGTTAAAAATGTACGAGATAATAATGAACCTTTTCGGATACAATAATAAATTGTATTTTGAAGATAGAGCTGAAACCACAAGGTGTGAATCACAAGATTAGCCATGGAACTCATCGTTAATTTGTCACTAAATAATCGTAACTAACAGGATATTTTGATAATTTATTGCTAATTTATTGTTAAATAGGGACAGGAGCGACGTATTATTATTTAGCTACAGAATTTATTAGTCGCTAATTAAATCTACTCTTTACTGCTTTCTCTATATATCTCTGTTCAACATTAACTATTTGTTTCGCTTACCTTTAAATAAATCAATACCCAAACATCTACTTGTAGGTTTTAGCATCCTCAAATATGATGCATAATTTATAGACATATTTTTTAAGTGGAAATGAAATACTTTGACAAAGTCACAATCTTCTGCTGTATAACTACTTTTTTTTATACATGGGATGGCAGACAGGGACAGAGCTAGGTGGACGGAAGGGGTTACATGCGCTTGAACCCCCTTCCGCCAAAAATTACATTGTTTATATAAGGTTAATTTATTTTTTTCTTTTTTTTATGTATGTATATTGGGTGTTGAATTCCTTTAACCTTTTCGCATGTTTATTTATTTTTATTTTTTTTTGATCTGTTGGAGAAAATCCTACTTCCACCACGGACTAACAAAACAAAAAGTAGACATCTGAGAAATTGTTACTAAAAAAATGATGGTATCCTCTGCATTTGCCTCTTGAAAACAGATTACAACTTGAGTCACCTTTATAATTACATGAAGGTATACAGAAATACCAAGAACAAATTAAAAAATTCCAAAATAAAGCCCATTTGATTGCTTTTTGCAATCATAGTATAAGCAAAAACTCTAATAAAAAATTCAAAGAATCTCTATAAACTTTCATTCTATGTTTTGTAATTAACTAGACCTACTAATCACTACCACAACTATAGAACTCACCCTCCTCCAATTAGACGGATGTATCTAATACTCAGTGAAATAGTCGATGTGTACACAAGCGGATGTGGATGCCTGTTTGTCGATGTATACGCAAGCTGATGTGAATGCTCAGTGAAATAATCGACGTGTACGCAAGCTGATCTGAACACCTGGTTTTAAGTCCTCGCCTGAACCATAGGAGAAGACATTGGAGAGTGAGGAGAATTCATGAAAGGAGAATTCATGAAATCATCCAATCTTCTAAATGATAAACTAATTTCAAGTTTGCTCCTTCTACATTGTTTCTTGGTTGCAACTTCAATTAGTCCCTTTCTTTGTAGCACAAAATGCTTAATTCTTCTCAATGCAACTCTCATTGTTTCATCATCCATATTAGCAAAACAAACTCTAAACCAACCAGGCTCAGAACAATGAAATGAAACACCAGGTGAAACATTGAGTTTAACTTCATTAATAATTATATGCCAAAGATCCAATTCAGCCTCAAATGTTGACTCTTTAAGTAATCTTCTCAAATCCATCCAAAAAAATAAGCCACCATTACTCTTCAATGTACTAATTCCAACTTGTGCTAGTCCCTTACTGAACAAACCATGCCTTTGTGACAATCTCACCGAGCTCTTCGCGATGAAATTTTCAACGAAAATCTCATCCGATAACATGGAAGCAATCAAGAATTGCGTTTGTGTTGAAACGAGTCCAAAACTTGACATTTTTCTAGCACAATTCACCACTACGTCGTTGTATGAGTAAATAATCCCGACTCTGAATCCAGGGAATCCTAAATCTTTCGACAGGCTATAAACAACGTGCACCAAATCTTCGTTGCAACCATTAACTTCCTGCATTACTTCGGATATACTGATGAAATCGGGCTGGCTAAAGACCGTTGCAGCGTAGATTTCGTCACATACTAAGTGAATGTTTTTGTCATTGATGAAACTTAGTATGTCTTTTAA